TATTAATGTGTTTACTCCTCAACATTTACATCATTTGGTGCTCAGTCTCCCGTGATATCTCTTTAGTTGACAGTGGGGATTTGCCATAGTCCTTTTTTTTTCCCTCAACAATATGGCTGTATCTCACCAAGGCAGGGTGACCTAAAAAGAAAAATGAAAGTTTCTCTTTAAATTTAGTAATGCATGCAAAAGGGGTTACTAGCTTTTCTCTCCTGGCACCTTAGTTTTCTCTTACGACATGCATGGCTTATGGAGGAAGAATTCTGTTCCACTTCCCCATGGAGATAAGAGGAAATAAACAAGATCTAGTAAGAAAACAGAAGAAAACCCAGAGGGCTATGTATATATATGTACTTGTACATGCATGTGTAGTGTGACCTAAGTGTAAATAGAAGTAGCAAGACTTACCTGAAACCTTGCATGTTTACGAGACAAAAAGACACCAGCACTCCTAGCATAATGTAAAACAGTTACAGGTTTCCGTTTCACACTCACTTGGCAGGGCAGTAGTATCTCTCTGGGCGGCTGCTGTTTACCAACCTACTACCTATATTATTATTAATGATTATCAATATTATTATTAATGGATAGTAAAAGAGAATAGTGAGGTACTTAAAAATCAATAGCTTTTTTTCTCATAATATAACTATTGATGAGGCTGTTTGGTATTAGATCCTCTATTTTGTCTTGACTTGTAATGCTGTGATGCTTTTACTAATAAGTTTGATTTTATTCCCCTCCCCCCCCCCCATTTGTGAAAGGCCATATTTCATCTTTCTTACAACCTTTATTATGGATCAACTCTTCAGTATTAGATCCAAATGCTTATTCCTGGATTTCATAAGACCAAGTGGGTTTCCCAAATGCATGTTCTCACTACAACCTTGTTTCCATTGGTCGTCAATGGTGTTGCCTCAACACTTTCAGGAAAATTAGTTCTCTGTATGTATATAATTTTGCCTTTGCTTGCGCTGATAAAAACCTCTAAGAGTAAATGTTATTGTGCAGTAGACGGCAATTCCAGTTGGGTTCCATTTAGCGACTTTAGGTTTGTGATATCCAAAACCATCTATTATCTTTGTGAAGACCTGCCATTCCTCAGTCTAGGCACTTCCTATACAGTTGTTCCATCCTGGCCTGCCAAACAACAAAATGTCTCTTCTAATTGCAGGATATCATGAAATGCATGTATCACAACTACAAAAGTTGCAGGTTTCATCAGACTGAACTTGCTTAAAATTCACATTTCACATTGGGAGTGACTTGTCAGGGGCTTTAGCTCCATTCCACCTTGGTCTCGTCCATGTTCAATATGGAGACAGAATATATTTCTCAGCCTCTGATTCCTCTTTGAGCTTTTATACCACCACTAAGGCCTAAACACATCTGGGTTTATCTCCTTCATCCTGGGTAAAAGCCTGTTGAATTTATTGTGTTGCCTTTGCATGGTTGCCATAACCTCCAGTGTGTCTGCTGTTTTGTTCAACTCCATGATCTACATAATCCTCAGAATTGCAGGACACGCTAATATGGTTGGACCTACCACCTTTGATTAGCAGCCCTCATTATGACATTTCTTTCCTGTTCACCTATGGACCCTTGTTGCATCTCTCCATCTAAACCCTTCAACTTCCCTTTTAATTCCCCACATTTAGTACTTCACAATCTTACCTTCGGACATTATAGCAGTCCCCATGACCCTCTCCCCTTCCATCTCTGAGGCCTAGTCTCTCCTACCGCTATGTTAGCCTACTTTTTAGAGCATTTTTCAGTAGTTCCTTCATGCCATTGCTGTGTATGCTGATGAATCCAAATCTGCAAAAGCTGTTTGGTATAAAGCAGTTTACCCAAATTGATCCTAGGCCACATACTGGATATAGTCAGCATTGTTGCTATCTTTCACATTGCATCAGTTTGTTTCAGACTTTTTCAGCTTTTCTGTGCTGTGAATGGTACAAATAAGATACCTTCTTGCTTGTTCAGACAACTCATCCCTTCTTAAGAAAAGAAAGATGGAGAATAACATAAATAACTCTAAAATATAATCAAGTGGGTAAACTAAATTTGTTGCAGAAAAGTCTATGAAGTTTACTAATATAAAATGCACAAACATACAATATTTCCTAACTAAATGAAAACAATGAAAAAGTAAAACAAATTGAAAATGTGAATCAAAGCTACGATACACAAAACAATATAAAGGTGCATCCAGCAAGAGGTATGAAGCAACCCATGATACTGGAAACTGGCTCAATCCATTGTGGTCCAATGTGATGTAAATAGAATAATCACAGAAGATAGAAGTCAGTCACCACTAATTTAAAACACACCTGTGGTATAATAGTCCTGAGCCCTAATGAGATGTGCACAGGAAGACACTGTATTCTGATGAGATGTGCAGAGGAACAGTAAATGATAATGAAATGTACACAGCAAGATGGTGTAGTAAAGTTGAACACTGGTGCAGACTCGAGTGAACCATTTTGATACAGCGAACCTAGCTGGTTCGAGTCTGAGGTGACTAGTCATTCAAGAAACAAAGCTTGCAGATTGGCACTTGCACAAATACGTAGTAGCCTTCCATAAATAATGAGGATAAAGTTGAGTACAGTAAAGTCTCATGACTTAATCCTTTTCTGGCTTTTTTTTCCATCTTATCTCTAACCTTATGGGCTCATTGTATTTATGATCAAACCACAACAAGGAGATTGGCAGACTTCTTGTCACAGCCATTGGCTATGGAAAAAAGATTCTGGCATGTCTTTGTATTGGTCACCTTTCACAAGGTTGGTGAATGAATATGGGAAGTTGTATAAAAAGAGGAAACTAGCAGAGAACATTGGAAACAGCAAGGTGATGAGAGTAACAAAATAAAATTAGGGAGGGAGGGAGAATGGAGGAAGTAAATATATTCAGATATTTGGAAGTGGACTTATTCACAGATCAGAGAAACTAAGTGACCTATAGAATGAAAAAGGGTGAAAAGGTGGGTAGTGCATTTAGGTATCTGTAAAGGCAAAACTTCAATAGAGGGAAAACAGGGGGGTACTGTACCACAGTACAGGGAAATGTGCCCATGTTATTTGAGTGTGAAGTATGGACTTTAAATGTTGCAGCTAAGAGGCTGGAGGCAGTGGAGATGTCATGTTTCAGGGTGGTATGTGGTGTGAATATTATGCAGAGAATATGGAGCTTTGTAATTAAAAGATATGGAGTTGCCAAAAGTATAATTCAGGGCTGAGAATGGGTCGTTGTGGTTTTGGGATTTGAGAGGGTATACAACTCTTGGGGCAGAAGGAAGGGTAGGTGTCATCCCAGGAAGGGATGGAGGAAGGGGATAGAGGTTATGATTGCTAGGATCTTAAACATTCAGCAGGCTTGTGTAAGCAGCTAGGATCAAAGTGAATAAAAACTCTTACTTGATGTACTGTTGGAGGAGCAAAGTAATGTTTATGAACAGATTCAGGGGAAATTGTTTAGCCAGACTTGAGTCCTGGAGGTGGGAAGTAGAGTGCCTGCACACTACAAGGAGGGGCAGGGATGTTGCAGTTTGGAAGGTCATCTGAACTGTGATGTCAGCACTCTTCTGGCAAGACAGTAGAGTGAATGATGGGTTTCTAGAGTTTTCCTACTCAGCCCAGCCCTGTGCCAAGTTTCTGACACTTGCCTGGTCAACTGAGCTATTGCTGCTGGTGGCCCACTAGCCCACATATCCATCACAGCCTGGTTGACCCAGCATTTGGTGGAGGTAGTTGTCAAGCTTCCTCTTCAACATTTCTACACTTGTTCTGGCAGTGTTTCTGGTATCTTCTGGTGAGGTTAAAATGTCTGGGTCCACAGATATTGATACACTATTTTCTTATTGTGCAAATGGCTTCCTTTCTTTCCATTGGATTTATTCTACACTTTCTCCAATATATATTGCTCCAGTATGTTATTGCATTGTGAAGATTTGGGACTAAATCCTTGAATACCTTCCTTGCACATATTATCACATTTCTCTCCTCAGCTTCAGTGAGTACATAAGACTTTCAGGCATTCCCAGTAATTTAAATGATTTTTTTTTCTCTGCTCTAGCTTTAATATCTCTCCTGCATGGTGAAGGTGTAGAAAAGGACACTTGCATACAATTCAGGACATTCATTAACAAATGTTCAGAACTGTACAGAAGTAGCCTTTTCCTTAGTTTGTCAGTATCACCTTAATGTTTATAACCAAGGATTTTTTTTTGTCACCTTTGATAGGCAGTGCTGGTGTTAAACTTAGCTCCCCTTTCCCTGGTCCCTTTGTGATACATGTATTACTGACAAATACCTATAAATTTATTGTCCCATATATCAGAGTGCTCCTAGAATTAGTTTCCTTTTGACACCCCCACAGAAGCTTTGTCTTTCTACTCTTCCTACTGACAGTCCTGCCCATCATACATTACACCAATTCTGACTATCTCTTAGTACACACTACCCCCTGCACAAACCTCCCTTTCGTTTAGTAGTGTGTGACCCATGCAGATTTAGTGCTTCTATAATATAAGAGATTCAGGCTCCTAAAGTGAAGACATTTTGTGCATGGGGTGGGGGGGGGGAGAGAGGAAGGGTGGTTGTGTACTTACCTATGTGATTGCAGGGGTTGAGTTTGAGCTCCTGGCCCTGCCTCAACTTTCAACTTTCCACTTTCCAAAAGTTAGCAGGCATCAGTCACATTTAAAATAGAGGACTGCAACCTTGTAGTACACGCCCCACTTATCCTTTAGTACATTCACTGTACTTTCCATTGGCAAAACTCAAGTCTGGCTAACTGGATTTTTCTCCAGCCGAACATGCTCACACTTGCTTGTTGGATGCTCAGTCCTGCTCCAATAAACTTAGTATATAAATATTTTTCATTTTATTTTTTAACTTTCAGAATGGTTTTAGCAACTCATAGCTGTGAGATATCAGATATCAGTTTATCCAGTTCATTGTAGTAGGTGTAGAAGTATATGAATGTTATCCTTGCAGCTATGTATGTTGGCAGCTATGATAGAGCATGGGCATTACCTCGTCTCTCAGCACTTCAAGGCCCCTCGAATTGCCAAGCTGTATCTGGGAGCTGTTGGTGTCTGGATGGTATCTATCGTTTATGTATTTTGGTTCTTCGCCCCTGTCACGTATGGTACAACTGACCTTACTGCTGACCAAGTGATGAGCATGGCTTGGAGGGAAACATGGGATCTTATTATACATAAGCAGTAACAAAATTAAGCATTTTAAAAAGTATTAATTGTTTGTTACTGTATACAGACATGTAGGAAGCATATAGGTCCATGTATTTTTTATAAAATTTGGGGATTATATTTTAATTTAGAAAAAAAAAAACCAGTAAGCACTGTATTGGTGCATGATAGTGTAGTTTTAAAAAATGTTGATAAAAAAAATTTGTTTTTCATACTTGAGTATTATTAATTAAATATAATTAAATTGAAATATTTTTATATTGTACAGTAACAGCTTCCAAATGTTTGTTGTGGGCTTTCAATTTATGGTGTAACATTAATACATGAAGTTGTCACACATGGTGTAACATTAGTATGAAGTATTACATGAAGGTGTCATGCATGGTGTAACAGTAGTGGAAGTAATACATGAAGTTCACTTCTCCAAAACTGTTAATTGTGAACTTTCTTGGTCTTGACAGTGTTCACACCATACATAATACAACCTAGCATCAGTCAGTATTCATTACACAGTTGTTCACGTACTCACGTTTGACAAGTGGCTACTGCAGGGAGAGTTAAAGATAATGCTCAGTTGCAGTTTTTATTTACAAAAACAAGATTGTTCTGGATCTAAATTGATAAATTAATGCATTTTTTGAATATTTAAAAAACTGTATGTGCAGTGCTGTATGACCCATATGGGTTTAGTGCTTAAATTTATGATATTTAATATGTGGTATATAAACGTTGGTTGATGTTTACAGTACCTCGGAGTAGGTCTTCCAGTGTATTCATCAACTTGTTAATATTTTGTTTACCAAATACCTCTAAATTTGTTATTGTTATATAGAAATTTAAGATGTGACTTTTCTGTTGATATTGAATATTTATTAAACCATCAAATTGTAGTCAAAAACTAATATTTATTTTAGATGACTGCTGGAAGTTGGGAAAGATGCTGACTAGTTTTAATGCCATATAATCTTGGTGGCGGTGATAGTAATGTTAGTCTTAATATCTACTATTTTTGTACATTTGTTACTTTGATAAATAAAACAATAATATTCTTGAATTATATTTTACAATTTTAATTTAACCCTTAAACTGTAGCAAACCTGGAAAGTGTGTGTACTTGCCTAGTTATGGATGCAAGGGTCGAGTCGTAGCTTCTGGCCCCACCTCTTTGCTAGTTACTACTAGGTCCACTCTCTCCCTTCTCCATGAGCTTTATCGAACCTCCTCTTAAAGCTTGTGTATGGATCCTGCGTCCACTATCTAACTCTCCAGATTGTTGCACTTAAGTAAGTTTATTCAGGTATACACAAATACAGTTACGTAGATTATCATACATAGCAGCATATGTGTAGAGAACCTAGAATAACCCAAAAAAGTCACAGAGTGACTTATTTCCATTGGGGTCCTGATAACTCTGAAGAAATACTTCCTAACATTCCTGTGGCTCATCTGAGTTTTCAACTTCTCAGCTGTGACCCCTTGTTGCTGTGTCCTGTTTCTTGAAACTTTGTTGCTGTCCACTGTGTCAAATCCTCTTGGTATTTTATATGTTATGTCATCCCTGTCACTCATGTTTTCCAGTGTCGTCAGATTGATTTCCCTTAACCTTTCCTCGTAGGGTATACCCCTTAGCTCTGGGGCTAGTCTTTTTGCAAACCTTTGCACTTTCTCTAATTTCTTGATGTGTTTGACCAGGTGTGGGTTCCATACTGGTGCTACATACTCTTAATATGGGCCTGACGTACAGAGTAGTGTTTTGGACGACTTTACTTAGGTGTCAGAATGCTATTCTTAGGTTTGCCAGGTGCCCATGTGCTGTAGCAGTTATTTGGCTGATGTGCTCCTCAGAAGATCTGCTTGGTATGATGATCACCCTAAGATTCTTTTCCTTAAGCGAGTTTTGCATCCTTTGACCTATGCTGTACTCCATCTGCAGTCTTCTTAGTCCTTACCTGAACTTCATGACTTCGTACTTGCTGGGGGTTAAACTCCAGGAGCCATTTGTGGGACCAGGCATGCAACCTGTCCAGATCTTTTAGGCTTACCTGATCCTCATCTACTTGTATATTCTCATTAATTTCACACTGTCTGGGAACAGGGACACCTCAGTATCTATTCCTTTCATGTCATTTACATATATTAGAAACAGCACCAGACCTAGGACTGACCTTTATTGACAGAGTGCAATGGACAGGGGATGTAGCAACAGCAGCAGCACCATACACAGCAAGAGGCATTCTTGACCTTTTCCCAGTGCTCGGGCTTAATACCTAAAGCTGCGGTGTGGCTCCAAAAGGATTCTGTAGTGCTTGCTGCCTTTGCATCTCCTGACATTGTCTGCTGCTATACAGCTGCCACACCTTTGAGCCCAGTGTCAGCAGGGTTTGTGGCAGTCCAATGTGCCTAGCTTGTTCTTCCAAGCCCTGTGGGGGCAGGGAATGGGGCTAGGCCTGGGAACAGCTGGTCCCAGATGATGAGGTACTTGTACCTCCTTCCATGGCAGACATTAGTCTGAGAGACTCCCACAACAGGGAGCCAAGGCCAGGCTACCTCTTTGAAAAGGCCCAGACCAGGTGATTATACTGGTGAATCTCCTACCTAACTACCCTTATTGAACTCTTCAAGGGGGGGCTCCTTGGCGTGGTGAAGAGGCTCTTGGTCTGAGGAATTAGACCTGTCTGTCTCCTTCCTCAGACCGAACCTAATTACCCCCCAATCCCCCCTTCCCTCCCCCATCCTCCCCTTTTTCCTTTCCTCCTCCTCCTCCTCCCCACCCCTCCCTTTTGCCCTTCCTTTTTGGCCTTTGGGATTTTTTCCCACAGGCACGCTAGTTCCTAGGTAGGAGAAAGGGTACCGGGGTCCATCCCATTCCGTTGAGGTTCTTGGCGGTGGCGTAGTTTGCCGTGGAATCTGGATTGCCTGGGGATGTCCCGATCCCTCTCCGGTATTGGCTTTGGGTGTCTTTCGGGCAACAGGTGTATCTCTGGAAGCCACCTTTCGGATTCCGGGGGTGGTGGCCGAAGGAGGTATGCTTTGTGGCGGATATCCGGCCACCCTCTCTTTTGTCCACCGAGGTAGCTCGGCAGATGTGAGGTTGCTATCCCGGATTGCTGGTTTACTGGCATGATGGGTAGGGTATAGTACGAGTTCCATGCTGCATCTGCGGTGCTGAGGTCCTCTTGGGCGAGGAGGGAAATTTCTGGCCCTTTCATTCCTCCTAGGAACTATCCCTCCCCGGTCCCCCCTTTTTTTATTCTTTTTTTTTATTTATATTTTCTTTTCTTCTTTCTTTTTCTTAAAAACAAAAAGAAAGGAGCAACCTAACCATGGCAGCCCTAGTCCATGAACCTGCTACCTCCGGGCCCCTTCTTGATACCGCACCCCGTTCTGACCCCGCCTCGTCTTTGGACCACTCTTCGGACACTCCTAATGCCTCTGTACCTCTTGCCGGTGCTGTTTCCTCACCCGCTTCAGGTATTGAGGTCTTGACTGACTCCTTCGATTTATCTGACCTCCGCTCTCCTTTGACTATGCTTCCGGCCTCTCCCTCTACGGTGCGGCAATTTTCGAATCGCCGGCCCGTTCCACGTCAGACCAACTCGGGTCCCATGCCTAAATGCCAACGACAATTACCTGCTGACGATACTTCTCCACCTTCTCATTCTTCTCAGAAAAGACCGACACGTCCTGCACTCCCTTTCCATGCTCAGTTTCAGAATGCACAATGGACTAAATTCTTCACTTTCGACCGACTTCCTCTATTGCCTATCTTTCCGACCATTAGTATTGGCAAGGCACTCCTATGCCATGTTGGAAAAAGATATTTCTTTTCATGCTCTTAAGAGCTTTTACATGCTTTCATCACTGTACAGAATGCTACCCAAGCTCATGATCTTTCTTTCTTTCTATATCGATACTGTTCCTGTCACTATTGAAAAAACATCATTCCCCAATTTTGTAGTGGTACCGTCATTCTGCCCCATACCATAGTTCAACAAAATTTCCAGACATGTGGCAATGACATTTTTGAACAGCTGGAAACTCCAAGATCTCCCAATCCTCAAGGTAGACATTTGTTCTCCCTGCCCGCGGACGGAGACGATACACTAGCGATGTGGCTCTTTTAGCTTTGACAGCTTTGAACCCCCATCCTCAGTTTATGTAACAGGACATGGGGTTACAAGTTCGAAAGGTGATCCCTACACCGCAACATTTGTAAAAAATTGCTGGCGATTTGGCCACCCAAAGCGAAATATTGCAGATCTATAGCCGAAAGCCCAGTCTGTGGTGCCAATGACCATTTTAATACTTTCTTGCAATCGACCCCCCTCTTGCCTTAATTGTCATGAGGCTCCCCCTTTCGTACTTCGCCGTTGCCAAGTTACTTAAATGAGCGGGGAAATCCGTTACCTCAAGGGGCAAAAGGGTCTCCCTTATCCCCATGGCAGTTTCTCATCTCCGCCTCCAGGGGAGACTACCTTGTGTTTCTTATTCCCGTGTTTCAAAACGTCCCCCACTTCTGGGGTCCCATCTTCTGCGCCTCCTCTGTGGTTACCTCTCCCATAGTCACTCCTGTATCTAATTCTTTTCCTGTCCTGGGTCAGACGTCCCTACTTCAATGCCTCGGTCTTTTTTCGCTTCTTCGTGTTCTCCTTCACAAGCCTCGGTATCGACGAGATCTCGTACGAAACTTCCCCCCAATCATCCTTTACTTCTCAGAAGTCAAAAAAAGGTCCTTTAACCCCTCCTTCCCTTCTTCCACCTCCTCATTTTACCTTCCCTGTCTCTGTACTGGTTCTTCCCCTCTCTTTTGGCTCTGTTACAAGTGTAGAGTTCACCCTCCTCTGTACTGTCCCTTTTCCCCCTGTTCCCTCCCAAGTTTTTTTCCTCTTCTGCCACCTCCCAGGTTTCTGCCTCTTCTGTCCCCTTCCACGCTTCTTTCCAGTTCCCTCCCCCCTTTTCCCCCCCCCCCCCCCCCTCCCTTTTGGTACAGTCCATTACAGTTCCAGTCTTTACTCATCCTCCCCTATCATCTCAAATATTGTTTCCCATACGACGTCTCTGAATTCCAAAACACTTGAAGCAATCTTTGAATATATTGCAGAGACCAAACCATCAATGGACACTGATCCACCCTCTGTTCCTTTCTCTCTCCTCTCCTCCATCTCCCAGCTCCTTTCTTTGCAGCGCACTGTTCCTTCGCTGCTTGAACGTTTTTCCCCTGCCTCTGCATGTGGACTTTTCTAACCCCTCTAGTCCGTAGGAACCCTTACCTGCGGATTTCAGGTATCTTTATCGTTGCCAAACATGGCCTATTTACAGTGGAAAATACATGGCCTCATGGGTAATCGGGGGGGGAGCTTCAGATGTTCTCTCCAGTTTTCCCCTGTTGGTGTTTGCTTACAGGAACCAAAATTACACTCTGCTGTTATCTATCCCATCTCAGGCTATAATTTATTGTATTCTTCAGATCCTTTTCCTGATGGGACCTTTAATGAAAGTGCTCTTCTACACACTGATATTCCGTACCATCAGCTATTTGTTCGTACTTCGCTGCATTACGCTGCAGCCCATATCCACTTGCATAGGTGGTATACACTCTGTTCTTTATATCTCTCTCCTCGGGCATTATCTATTCTGGATATTGCCATTCTTGTTTCATCATTACCACCACCGCTTCTGTTACTTGGTGATTTTAATGCCCATCTTTCCTCTGGGGGTGGTCTCGCTGTGATTCCCGTGGCATTCAGTTAGAGGCTTTTCTTGCTACCCACCCCCTCCATGTTTTAAATATAGGTACTCGGACTCACACTCTCTCTTGCATCGATCTCTCAGTCTGTTCTTCCTCCGCCGCATTAGACTTCACCTGGTCTGTTCTCCCGGATTTACCTGACAGCGATCATTTCCCAATCATACTTACTTCCCCTTCATATTCACCACCTCTTCGTATCCCATGCTGGCAATTTGATCAGGCAAATTGGAACCTTTACTCACAACTAACTGTTTTTAGTGAGGTTCCTTCTTCGTCCTCCATTGATGAGCTTTTACACCTCTTCTCGTCC